GTAACGTGGTGACACGATGACGCATTCAATATTAAATTGTACCTGCCCCACAACTCTGATATTTTGATATGGAGTTTATTGCTTTCATAGATAGAGAATCCAATCCACTTAACACCCAAATTTATAGCCTCTTATGTGGAGTGTTTATTAATGAAATGTTCAGGGCTGATGTAGAAGACACTTGTGAAAGTCAGAGAAAGGTTACAAACTAATCTTGATTTACAATATCATTATCAGAATTATACATACCTAGTCGAAATGTGGGCAATTTAGGTCATATGTTTTCTGGTTTTTACTGTACCATCCCTACATAAATCATTGACCTCTTTTCCATTGAAGAGATGCCTATTTCAAATCTAAATTTTCTTGTAGATATGTTTTCATAATGAATATATAGTTTTTATGTGTTTACTGTTTCTTTTATCTTACAAAATGATCATCACTCAATTTTGTCAAAAAGCATATATTTTGGCATCTGAAGAAAATGGCATGAGACCTAAAGCAAGAGTGAGTCAATTACTATTACAAATGCATAGGTAATAATTCATTATTGACTTAACTGAAAATACACAACTTTATTTGTCCTTTCTCATTTTCAAGAATATATCCCCTCACTCACTCACTCACTCCTATCCACCGACCCACTATCACACTCACCCACTCACTCATTTGTGAAACATATCTCAGGTATCAAACACATTTGATGTCTCCATGACACCATTAATTTAATCAAACACATTTGATGTCTCCATGACACCATTAATTTAATCAAACACATTTGATGTCTCCATGACACCATTAATTTAACAACACCTTTAGATACAACCAAGACAATTTCCACAGTTCTGAAGTCAGACAGGTTCAACCAGACAATACAAAACAACAAAGTGATTGCTGCAGCCTCACAAAAGAAGTGTGTTACCTTAAAAGTGTCTCCCGATCACCTATCCCCATCAAGTCTGATCAAGCTGGTAAAGTGCAATATTACAGTGACAGCCCATTTCTTTGCCTCATTTAGCCAACAGCCCAGGCATGTATACAATATTTAGCTTCACAAACTCACCTAACCCCAGTGTGCACACTTCACAAATAATGGATGCTGTAATCATGGCCCTTCAGGGCAACACTGCTTGATTTTCTTGAAAAACTGGATGTTTCAAATTTGCAGGTTACGAAAAAAGGTTAAAGTTTGAACTACAGAATCTCAATGTAATTTTTGTTTGGCAAGTATTGAGTAAATTAAAAAACAGGTATTAGTTTATATAGTTTTAATTGCGATATGAATGCAAGACAGGCAGAAACAGAATCACTGCACTAGATTATCTTTAAGATTATCTTCATGTTCATAGAAAAACACCAGCTTGTAAATAATCATACAAGTTAGTGATCTCATAGAAATGACCTAATTGGAATTATCTGTTCTCACAATACAGACCTACAGCAGGGATATATTTTTCTCCTACATGTGTCATAATGTGCTCAAAAAGATGTTCAGGATTGAATCAAACGGTGCCTACTGGAAAATATTTTTGATCCAATCTTATTCGCGCAAACATGTTCTGATGCACTTTCAGAAGAATGTCTTGGTGCACTTTCAGGAGCATGTTCTGGTGCACTTTCAGGAGCATGTCCTGGTGCACTTTCAGGAGCATGTCCTGGTGCATTTTTAGGAGCATGTTCCAGTGGATATTCAGAAAGCATTTCTGGTGCACTTTCCTGGTGCACTTTCAGGAGGATGTCCTGGTGCACTTTTAGGAGCATGTTCTGGTGGACATTCAGAAAGTATTTCTGATGCACTTTCAGAAGGATATCCTGGTGCACTTTCAAGAGCATGTCCTGGTGCACTTTTAGGAGCATGTTCTGGTGGTTATTCAGAAAGTATTTCTGATGCACTTTCAGGAGGATGTCCTGGTGCACATTCAGAAGCATGTCCTGGTGCACTTTCAGGAGCATGTTCCAGAGCACAATCAGGCGCATGTTCCAGTGCACACTGAGGATCATGTTCTGGTGTACATTCAAGAGCATGTTCTGGTGCACTTTCAGTCAGGAGCAATTTTCATTTATCAAGTGAAGGATAATTAAATATCCCTAAATATTAAACTCATTCGAAAAGTGGATACCCAGAGCATTCACATCCTCCTATTCAACCAACTTCTAATAGCCTGTCAAACAATCTAACTAATCTAAACTTACCCCACTGCAATGTTACCAGGCCACAGCTGAACAGCCTATACTTCAACAGGTATGTATTATGAAGACTATGTACAGTGCCTTGTAATCATTTTGTGCAAGGACTTGGAACAGTCGCGTTAAGGAATTTGACATGACTAAATCCTTATGAATGTTCCATAAAGGTTACTCGATGTTCCAGGGTCATGAAGTTTAAAGCTTGTCAGTGAAGTGACACAACCATCCATACACGTTAGCATAGCTCCTGTACACGAACACAGAAGTAAAGATCTCTATGAAATATAAATATACATCACGCCAGATGATACAGCAATAAGATACCAACAGAAGATGGTTCCGCTCGACTAAGTCACCACAAAACAAGGCACTAAGGACAACATTGGCTACAATACATCCACAGAATTTCAGATCCAAGGAATGTATTAATACTCTATTATTAACATTGAAACGGAAATTCTTGAAATATCTACACACTCCAGGGAATATAAAATTGTTATTCCCTATAAACATTATGGCTTGTATATAACCTCAATGCTGGGTTATCAATTATTTCACTGTAGACTGCATGCAACATTTGCATTCAGGAACTGCACTTTCCGAATAACAATATACCTGTTGTATTGCTTTGCTTACATATAACAATCTAAATACTTGTTCTTGAAAGACCTATTTACCATCACTCATCTAGATGAAAAGCTCTATAAAGAAAATTTATGCTTTTCTGCTGGACAGAAATTCTCTATTATTATTAATATTAAAATGTTCATCTATGACAAGGTTACATACAGATAAAATTCCAAACTGGTTAATTTCAAACATCACATATGCCACACATTGACTGATGTAAATGACATCCCAATAATCAAGGCATTAAATACATCTAATCCTATGTAATACTATATAGGTTGTTTTTGCAAATTGATCTGGAAACAGCTTCACAGCTGTCCATATCTACCGGTTGTTATCTTCTATCCAATCTTCTACAGCATGCAGCACTGAAGTCATATTAGTGGAGCCCCTCACTCATTTAGCTTGCAATACTGAGCATGTGACAACAATAGGATTGTGTTTTGATTTTCTTTAATATCTTGCTACTTTCCAATGCATAGTTGTTGTTGTCATGTCAAAAACACATCCTGGACACACAAATACTGAAGACAATCAAATACAATGTACAAATGATTTTTCTGTCATTTTCAAATCATTCAAATGTTTCTGGTAGAAATTTAATCATTTGACACACTTTTGTGAAAGCTGTTTTCCTTTTTCTGTGTTACAAATAGAATATTGTTTGCAAGGCCTGTCTAGCATCAAAGTGATTCAAAGGAACAATATCACAACAATACAAATTAAGAATTCTTTTCTTATTTAATGCAGCATAAGTGTAACATTCTTTTCTTGTCAAATATAGTCAGCCTTGATTATTTACAGACAGCCGCCATATAGCTGGAATATTGCTCAGAGCTGCGTTAAACATCAAACCAACCAACCGTTGACTGATCAAGTCCCAAATGTTCATGTGATCATTTTTCAAGATTTCAACAAACCAAACATGCTACTTTGATATTTTTGTTAAATGAATATGTAATAAAAATAGAAAAAGCATATGTGCTTGAAATATGTCAGCAAAATTAATGACAATGACAATGATGCTTGACTTGGTAATAGTGTTGGGAATTGGTTAAAATCTCATAATTGATGATTGGTTCATTACAACCGATCAATCATCGAAAATAATTGGTCAGCATCATGTATCAAATTTTTCTGTTTATATTTGTTAATGCACAAAAAACAAAGAAAAAACATGTAGTTCTTTTGGTTTTTTTTCAAACTGCACAAAATGCATTTGCAAATTTCACATCTTTAAATGATGACTAGTATGTTAGGAACAAATTTCCTGGAGTCTATAAGATAAATTCAATCGTGACTTGGAACGAGCTTGTAGTGCTCATGAAATGTAACTGACAAAACTAACCTTGTGAAAAATATCGATAATGCAAACAAGTGCTCCAAAATTGTGTTTTGTTTTGAGAAAACATGATCGATTGCTTGGTCGTTTAGTCACTGCGACCAATCTTTGGTTATTTCAATTAATCGGACCACCACTACTTGGTAAGAAGACAATACAGATTATTGTAAGGGATAAAAAGCAAAATAGAAAAGCATATTTGCTTGAATTATTTTAGTAATATAATTAGTGACAATGATGCTTGACCTGGTTATTAAAGAAGACAATACAGACTATTGAAAGGGATATAGAAAAAAATTAGAAAAGCATATATGCTTGAATTATTTTAGTAAAATAAATGACAAATAAAATGCACAATGATGCTTGGGTTGGAAAGAAAACCGTCTTTAATAATGAGTGACTCACCTGGTAGAAATCCCTTGTTGTTCCATAGCTTGGTACGATGCTGATACCTAGACTCTCCTCTCCTGTCTTCCTGATGGTCACATCTTGCAGGATGAATCCATCCAGGTTGCCTAGCTCTGGCATCTCTGATCCAGACAAGATGCGAACATCAGTGACTATCCCTCCCTGGCCAGACATCCTGTGATGAGGTGGTGGTTCAGCTCTTTTGACCACCAGATGCACACGGAGTGGGATATTCTTGAACACAGCAATGCAGTCATCATGGTTCAGACGCCGAAGGTTGGTGCCATTGACTTCAAGAATCTCATCCCCAGCACAGATGCCAACGGAACTACCTGAAGCTCGGTATGCTGCACCCTCTTCCACAACACTCTTGACAATCACAGCTTTGACATATCCACTACTCTTACCTCCCTCCACACTCAGTCTCATGCCAAGATTCTCATCCTCCAGCCGATGAAGGATCAGATTCTCCACAAAACCATCATTTCCATTTGACAAGGTCAAGGATCTCACAGAATCCACGTCTGCTGCAAGTTTTATGAATTGTTCTGAAACATGTTCATTTGAGAAGTGCAAATGTGGCAATGTTTGGCCAGAGGAGTTGATTCTGTGATAAGTACCCTCTGTGCCTCCAAAAACCTGCTACAGGTGAACCGGAGTCATCAGTGTCGGTGTTGCTGTCAAAGCTGGAGGTGTCAGACACGCCAGAACCAGGTGTGTTGTTGAGTGAGACGCCGACTGCGCTGTCAACTGACGACACAGACAGATCCAACTTCTTTATCCCATCACTTCTTTCATCAGTGGTCTGTTGGAAGACCGAATCTTTTTGCTTCTTAGTGGGACTTTGTGGAGACCTCCAGTCACCCTCATTATCCCACTTTCGTTTCAAGTCAGAGCTACCTCCATCATCTTTCCAACTTCGGGGGGATTCATCCTCTGAATCTTCATTATACTTCTGATGCAGTCTTGGAGAACGGAGGTTTCTTTTGGCAAATGTATTTACGTCATAATCAGAGAAGTCAGACTCTGTTCCATCTGAATCCATGATGAGTGTTTGTTTGGCAAGCACCTTCAGTGTAAGAGGAGTGTGAGCACCAGCTCCTGTATCCAGGGAAAATGTTATCTGAGGACAAGATGTCTGCGTCTCTGGTCCTTCAGAACCTCCATCATGGCTTCCTACTTCTGAATCCTGAAACACAAAGAGGCTTAGAATGATGTCTTGTGTCAGTTTAATATGTAGGGTGTAAAGAATGAGCTTGATTCAAGCTGACAATGGTAACATACCAATAATCTTAGTTAAATAAAATATCAGGAATTCTAATAATAATAATAATTCTATAATAATACCAATCAGGTATACCAAACAGGTCATGTGGACAAAGTCTGTTTAGAATGAACAATTAATTAGTGTTTATTTGTTTGATTGTTTTTTGGTCCATCTACTTTGATACTTTTGTCTTGTTCTGTAAACAAATGTATAGATCAAAGGGTTTCTAGCTGATAAATTTGTTGCTACATGTAAAGAAATTCACAAACAAACCAGGGCTGTTGTCATGATAGTCATTGTAAGTGTATTTTGCTGTGTAGAAGTTCCGATTGTCAATTGCTTTGAGCAGGCAGGCCCAGAGCACATGCTGTTGTGTCAGGGGAAAGTATTGTATGATCGCTGTTTATGTTGTGGCCTGATCTGTGATCAATAATAGATCTGTATTCTACTGCTGATCAATACAACTGGTCTACAGTTCAGTAGCAGGCTATGCAGACTCATCAACCATGAATGGATGACAGCGAATTCAGGAATGCTCGTAAACATTCACTGACTATCTCTCACCAGCAATTACATCCAATGCTATTAGAGGGTTGGGTTTTGTGAAGCTCTGAAGAGTAATCTCTAATGTCTCAGCCTGACTGGCTATTAAAGGCAGAGGCATCTAAAGTGATGTGGGTTACAGATGCTTATCAGAGTGGTGTAACCAACAAGCATGTATGTGGTGCATACAGACTATTCATAATCATAATCAGGCCATATCTTGATGCAAACAGACCTGTGGATCCTATCACTGTAAAGGGACACAACTCTGTGCAAGAAACAAATCAGAATTATTATGTCAGTGCCAGACGGGATAATAACAAGCACATTTTTTTAATCTCTTTTAGCATGTAGCCAGTGATTCGAACCTTGAACCTTCCCTTATCCAGTCACACCCTCTATCCACTACACCACAAAGGTGATACCATAACGGATGACCAATTATGGGTGAATAAATGGTTGCTGAATAAATGTGCAACCTAGCCTTTTTCCTTGATGTAGTACTACCATGTCCTGATAATGTTCACTCAAAAGTCTCAAGGGGTGTGGGGTAGCCTTGTGGTTAAAGTGTTGGCTCATAATGCCAGACCTGGGTTTCGATTCCCCACATGGGTACAATGTGCGAAGCCCATGACTAGTGTCCCCCGCCGTGATATTTTCTGGAATATTGCTAAAAGCCGCGTAACTCACTCACTCACTCATAAGTCTCAAATTTATTTAAAGTAGTCAAATCAGTGTCAAAGATGAGTCATGGATGAGTCAAAGTTGTCTGAAAGAAGGTGTGTGTTTGTGTGTGTGTGTGTGTGTGTGGGGCGGGGGGTGGGGGTTATATAACAATGTGTCAGGGGAATTGTTATACTGATCATAATGACCAACAATCGGAACAAAACACACGCATAGTGTAACAGGTATCATAAAGAATACAAAAAAGTACATGCCATTCTCCCAACACATAACCTTCAAGCACTACCATAAATGTTGAACCATTTCAACAAACTGATTATCCAAAGCTCCACATATGCATAGACTTATGGTATAAGAATCAGTCTTGACTTAACCGCAGATGTCTATGAAGATGTCCACGGCACTCATGCAGTGTTACATACAAACAGGGTGCATATCATCAAGAAGACACAGCCAATATCAGCAATAAAATTTTCATCTTGCTGTGAACATAACAGAGTCAATACACCTGTATGACAAAGATAACACAACTTAACTGACAAATCTATCAGGACCTAACAATACCAGGTACTTACTTCACCAGATTAAGGTCATCCAATATAAGTATTCCTCACTGTAGGGATGGCATCAAACGGATCATGTGAATATACCTGTGGTACGTCCTGTCGACTATTACCAAGCATCAGTATACAATGTGTATGTATTGATTGGAGCTGTGTTGTGTTCAAGCCCAATGCAACAGATGGCCATGCACACAGGAAAGATGGGAGACATATTTTATACCCAATAGAGTCTGGTTTTTTTTTCAAGGTTGTACTGTCTTCATAAACGATCAGTTTGATGGACATATGATATCTTTTTGAGGACTTCACAAAATATCTCATGGAAGATTTGATCTGGCAGCCTTGCTTCCTGTGAGGAATACATTATTATTGATATATGGTTTCAGGCTTACATACATTTTTTCCTGAATAACAACTTTTTGTCTGCGTTATATTTTTCTGTTTTAATTTGTGTGTTTTATTGTTGTTGTTTTGGGTTTTTTATAATTCGGCATTTCCCTATCTACATTACTACATTAAATTACTACTCCAAACTACATTAAATTTGCATGGATGTTTTTTTCTCCAAACTGGTGAATTAAGTTGTGAGAAATATTTGTATATGATTGTATTGTATACCAGCGTTTATCAACTTAGCATATGCTAAACCATTTCCTTGAGTTTGTGGGCCGTGGGGTAGCCCAGTGGTTAAAGCGTTCGCTCGTCACGCCGAAGACCCGGGTTCGATTCCCAACATGGGTACAATGTGTGAAGCCCATTTCTGGTGTCCCCCGCCGTGATATAGCTAGAATATGGTTAAAAGCGGCGTAAAACTGAGCTCACTCACTCACTCCTTGAGTTTGTTTGTTTCACATCACTTTCAGCAATATTGTAGCTATATGCAGTTGGTCTGTATATAACTGAGTCAAGACTGTTGAACTGAGCCAAAGGCTTCTCATACAATAAACAGTTGAATGAATGTTGTTTTCAGTAGTCAGCAATGTTCAAGCTATGGCATAATACTTCAACCTGAAAATGTTCCAGTCTGGTAAACCAGTGGTTGATAGCCTGAGCAACAATCTATAGAATGTAGATGTGATGTCATGCAATCCGCAGTCAAGTCACACAACCATCCTTATGTTAATAGGCGTATACAACAAGCATATTTATACTTGAACCTTTATAGGGAAGCTCATCAAAGGGTAAACATAATGTGTCAAACAGTTTTATACAGTTTTTAAGAAAGATTATAAAGTTCACTGTATATATGGACATTAAATGACAAATGAAACTGAAAACATTTAATTGAAACTGAACCTGACAAAGACTGCACACATCAAAGTGTCTAGACTAATGCTTAGTCTCTGAATATATATACTTTTGATATAGAAACAAACAAGCCCATGCCCCAGGGAGACCAGAGATTCAGAACCTGAACCTGATGAAATCTAGACTTGCTTTATTTAGAGCTTTAGCACTGCAGAGAGGGCTTGGCAGTGGGGAAAATAATGTGGTTCAGAGACTGTGATCATGAGACAGACTACAAAGTGTCCTGACACATTTATATATTTCTTGGTATCTGAATACTTTACTAAAAAGTAGTTATTTTGCTATATTGTGTGCATTTGTGTATATCTAAAGGGATAAATTATGTTTTCTGTTAAATGGTAGATTGTTATTTAATAATGTTCTGGATAGTGTTATCAATAGAATACACGGATATGGTAAATTTGGCATCATAATGCAATAAATATTCAAATAAGAGGACCTAGTAGAAACTACTTTAAATTTTCATACTATCATTCAGTAGGTTTAGATAGGTGTTTTCTAAGGTATGGATGATTATGTAGAATAACACTGTATGACAAATGGGGCGATTCACTCACTGTATTCTTACACATTTTCTAAAGTTTACTTCATTGAGAGAAATTACAACTCAAACAATTATTACTGTGAGAATGACATAGATATTATTCATAGGATAAAAATAACATATCTATGATAAAGATTATTATCCTGATGTGCCTTTGGCCAAATGTTGGGATAAAACAGTCTTACACAGAAGCTAAGTCATTTGTGTCAGATGTCAGAACTAAGGTTGAAACAATCCAGAAACTGAAGGAATTAGGAATTTGTTGTTTAATCCTGTTTGAGTGACAGGAGTATGCGTCACCCACAGAATGTTGTTTGAGTCATAACAGGAACCGTTGTGTATATCGCGAGCGTTAGTGTCTTGAGTTTGTCCCATCACACCATTACTCAGACACATACTTTATACACTGGTTTTATCGCAGTCTTGGTTTACAAGATGGAACAAAACCAGAGGTATAAGTGTGCATCCTAAAATGTGCTGACTTGCTTGTCTGTATAAACATTGGCGTAAGTTTACCATGTTTCATTTACAGCGTATGAATATTTTTGTATCGCAGATTAGATAGAAGTATTAATTTAAGTATGTCAGGGCCACAGCTGGTCCAGGCATCGAAGGTACCGTAATCCTTACCGATCTGAAACCTTACATGCCAGGAAACATATTCCTGAATTTGAGTAAGGGAGTTTGGTTTTATGTTGCTATTAGCAATATTGCAGCAATATCATGGCAGGTGACGTCAGAAATGCGTTTTACACATTGTACCCATGTGGGGAATCAAACCCGGGTCTTCAGTGTGACGAGGGAACGCTTTACGAACTAGGCTACCCCACTACCTATGAATTTGATATTCAAGTTAACCCTGATTGTGTTTCTAGGTTACACTGACATTTAGTCATTGAAATAACATCGTCTTGTTTGAACATCCTCTCCTACATCAAGTTGAAATACTTTTCAAAACACATTCACTTTTCAAATCACTATTCTTTCTGTTTCATTTGTGCTTGCAATTTATACAATAGCCCTAAAACTGCATCAAATGTTTTTGGATTTTTATATCATATGATATGTATGTTTGAAGAACTTCTTTCTGTGTTTGATTGGCAGTTTAGAAGATGCTATTTGATGAACATTTTGAGTTTCATCTTCTTTTTATTGCTTGGTACAACGTTTCAGGGCTTGTTCTGGCCCCATCATCAGGTAGAACCAAACAATAACAAGCAGATGAAACCCAGAAAATTCTCTATGTTCAACTTCATTCTGGTCAAAGGTGAAAATATACA